TTTATCCAGGCTAGCTTTAAGTCAAGGTCCTCAAGATCTCAACTTCATGAACACTTAACATTGTACATGTGAGCCGTTGGTATCTGGCTGTGAGACATAAATGCAAGAATTTTAAAATGCCTTTTGTAAAAATATCATGTCCTATAAAACTTTCAAAATGGTGCATTCAGAAGGTTCTAAATAATTGCATAAATTATCCTTATGAAGTTATTGATCATATGGTTGTAAAATTCATGACTTTTTGGATAGCATGTGTTTTTCTTTTTATATTTTTGTTGTTGTTTTTAGTTCTCAATTTCTCTGGAAAGAGAACTGCCTTTGTTTAAAGCTTAGAAAGTTACTAGTACCAAATAGAACTGTTATGCTTATCCCCAAAAGAGGTCTGTGCTGTAGTTACAGGGTCTGCTTTAACTCCATATGAACTGCTTCATTATACATAGTTGCCTCTTGAAATTTACATTTTTTCACTGGCTGACACACATTATTCCATATGTTGAAGTTTCATTCACTTCAGGTTAGTAAATATTTATTGAAAGCTCTCTCAGAAGATTTGAAGGTGGTAAACCAATCTGTCAGAAAAAGCAAACAAATAACACAGTACCTAACTTTCTTCAAAAACACTAAATATAATCCTAGTAAGTGCTATTTTATAGAAGTGAGGTAGAAGACAGACAAAAATGACATGGAAATTTTCTACTGGAAAAACAAAACAAAAAAACTCTGTAATGTAGAGGATTTACTAGCTCTTGGGATTCATTTATGGTTCAGGGACAGCATTAGATATTGTCTATGGGAATTTGTTAATAATGCTGTTTAAAACATGAGTTTATTGTGCTATTGAATAGAAGTCATTGAACAGTGTTTTAAGTAAATTATGTACTATGTATAGGTGGAACACCAGTCAGCATTTAAGTTACATTCATGTTGCAGACATAGTAACATGTATGTGCACTTTCAAATTGATTTGTGAATACGTTTGATTGTAGTATAACAATACAATTTTTTCAAAGGTCTATAGCTTGTAGAAAGGGAAGAAAATATTTCAAAACTATTATTTTAAATATATTTTATACAATGGCAGCTTAGATGAGATACTTATACATTTATTTTGCTTTTGTTTATACATTTATTTTGAAGCCTCTTTAGACCCCATTTATGATTGTTTAGCTTTTTGTGTCACATAGCTATTTGTCTTCAGTGTTACTCGGATTATAAAGGACAAAATCATGGACTATTAATCTTTTGGAATCTCTATGTATTTTTATTAAAAATCAATATAATATTTACTATCATGATTTACTTTAGACTCTAGTTCCTGACATTCCTTCTATTTCTTTTTTTTAAATTTTTATTGTGAAAATACCATATAGAGGGGTTACAATTACATGGGCAAGGTAATGAGTACATTTCTTATCAAGCATTGTTGCCTCCTTTGTTTCCCCTTCCCATCCCTTCCCATCTTTCCCCCCCACCAAAGCTGTAAAGTTCATTTTTTGACATAACAATTTGTACATCTCATTGTTGCAATGGGTCCATCTGTATCCCAATTTAAACGGTTTGTTTTTGCCCTTCCTCTCCACAAATTATACCAACATCAAATACAGTGAAAGCAGGGGTTATACCGTGGGAGAGGGACATACAAAGCAGCAAAGAAATCATCTTATAAATATGTTAGAAACAATCGTGAGAAAGAAAAAACATTTGAATACTTATCTTGGGGTTCATTTCACCTAACATCAACTTATCTGACCTTTTCTGCTTGTATCAGACATATACTAGTGTAAGTAAATACCTGAAAACGTCACTGGCATATTTGGTTAATAGCAAGATGGCTGAAAGAAACATGCAACTCTACACTTTGAGACATATGACATCTATCTGGGTATATGATTAATATTTTTAAAAGCTGGTTACAAGGAGGCAAATGAAAGATTAACTTTATATTTCTCTCGGTGCACTTGTTTATTCATCATATGAATATGTTTCCCTTTATAATCTGTATATTGGAGTACTAATTCAAGGGTGTTAGTATAAGGAGATGGGACCATTAGGAGGTGATTAACTTGTCATAAAGGAGACTGGTGTCCCCTATAATATAAAATAAGCCTTTGTTGCTAAGAATTAAGCTTGAGGATGCTTCACTGCCTGTTCTGACATATGAGGACCAAGCAAAGTGAGGCCTCTGCTGACACCAGTGTGCTAGCTTTGAATCCTGTACTCTAGAACTGGGAGAAACACACTATTCCATATAAAGTGCCCAATGGGAGTCATTTTGTTATAGAAATCTGAATGGACTAAGCAAATCTACATTCAGTCCTAGTTCAGACCTAGTTAATGGTGACTCAAGATTGAATACAGAAATAGTGATACAGTCCCTTCCTCCTTCTCAGTCATGACCTGCCATTAACATACAGAAGAGAGAAGGAGAAGGAGGAGAAGGAGAGACAGAGACAGAGAGACAGACAGAGACAGAGAGAGCGAGAGAGAAAGAGAGAGTGAGAGAGAGAGGGAGAGAGAGAGAGAGAGAGAGAGAGAGAGAACTATCAACCAGGAACAGGGAATTAGACTGGTACCAATGTTAAAAACATATGCTTATTAATTTATACTTCCCCAAGGTCTTGAGTATTTTGGTATGTAGATAACATTTTAAATTACATTTTATTTTCATTGTCTTGTTCTAAACTTTAAAAAGGCCAATTCAAACTCCAATTAGTTGATAATTTCATATCATAAATTATAAATTACAATTATTTTGAAAATGTCATGAAAGAGAAAAAACTGTTCATGTGACTGTACAACACAAGTGAACAATAGACAATTGTTTTAAACTTTGTGTCTGCTGGTTCTGGGGCTTGAACTCAGGTTTTGGGCATTGTTTCTGATGTTTTTTGCTCAGAGAAAATGTTCTACCATTTCAGCCACAGCTCCACTTCTGGCTTTTCGGTGCTTTTTTGGGGGAGATAAGCTTCTCTTGCCTGGTTTAGCTTCAAACCACCATCATCAGATCTCAGCTTGCTGAGTATCTAGGACTACAGATGTGAGCCACCAGAGCCTGGCACAAAATTATCATTTAACATTGCAATATATTGCCTTAAATATAGTTAGCTGTATAGAACATTAGTTCTAGCAACATCAGAAATGCCTACAATAACTATGCTTATTGCAGCAGTATTCACAAGAGCCAAATAACAGAATCTACCAATGGGTACATTCGTGGATAAATGGATTAAAAAAAAAGTGTGGTATTCACGTGCAGTGGAATTTCATTCAACTATATAAAGGATGAGATCCTTTTTTTTATATCAATATGGTTCAGAACTGGAGGCATTATAGGTTAAATAAGTCCAAAATAATACAAGGTCTTACCCTAAAGGAATAATTACATGGAAGTAGAAAGAAGAATCAATGTCACTAGAAAGGAGGAGTTGAGGGACAGACAGAACACTTAAATAAGGGGAACTAGAATGCAATTAGACGGAGAATAAGAGCTTTTGGTATTCAACTAAGCTAATGACATCAATGGTGCTTGCTGTGGAGAACAACAGTTAGTGAATTTTCATTTTCTTTTCTTTTAGAAGATGATAAGGCTAGCCCTAAGAGGGGTACAGTATGTTTCAGAGGATCTTTTTCTTTAAATGTTTCTATGTCACAATCTCTTTGTACTTCTTTCGCCTTCTACATTTTCTATCACCTTTTCCTTCCAATGTTTATCTTGTAGTACTCATTAACTCTATAATTCAAGATGAAATACAAGAAACATTAATTATAAGGAATTACATATTATAATGTCTTTTCACCTTATTTTACCTCATTCTTTTCCTAACATTTGCTTTGAAATATAGTAAAAAAAAAAAGGCAATAAAATCAGAATTTAGTATGATTAGTTTTATCTATCACATGGCTTTGTTGGAATCAATAAAATCAATAATCTGGAGGTTTATTACCTGAGGAAAATATGATTTCAGATTTTTATTTTATTGTTTATGGTATTAAGGATTTGGCTCAAGGTTTCATGCTTGTTCAGAGTGCTTGCTAAACTGGTACTCTATGGCAAGAATCACACTTCCACCCCAGATGTTGCTAGTGATTTTGGAGATGGAGACTAGGAGATATCTTTCCCTGGGTTGACCTTGAATCACCATATTCCAGATCTCAGGCCCTTGAGTAGATAAGATTACAGGTATGAGGCACTGACACCCAGCTATTCATTCAGATTTTGCCAAGACATTTAATTATTTATTTTGGTTGTCATGGGGCTTGAACTCTGGGCTTGGGCGCTGTCTGTCCCTGTGCTCTTCAGCTCAAGGCAAATGCTCTACCGCTTGAGCCACAGCACCACTTCTGATTTTCTAGTGGTTTATTGGAGATAAGAGGTCTCAAGGACTTTTGTGCCCAGGCTGGTTTTGAATGGCGATCCTCAGATCTCAGCCTCCTGAGTAGCTAGGATTACAGGCGTGAACCACCAGCACCCAACTACATTTATTGTGTTTTAGGCAGCTGATTATTTTTACATAATGATATGGACTTACTGGATTTTTACAATTATTTAAAAACTATATGAAATTCAAAAGAACAGTTGGGTTTAAACAATTAATGTCCTCTTTAAATGATTATGCTAAAAAACAGTGGAAAAGATTACATTTTGACATAAATTTGAAGGAAGAGAAGCTGTATACTCTATTACGTATGCATAGCTTTGGTGTATTCATCAAATTGATTTAATACTTCTCTTTTATTGTTGAGTAACAGGTTCAATATGTAAAAAAATTCTGTAAACTGAAGGTGGCATCATATTATAAAGTAGCTTTATTAGTGGTACTGAGATTTGGACTTAGGGCCTTTTTGAGATATGGCCACATGTGTGACCTCTTTAAGATATTCTTATTTCCTGCCTGACTATGTACATGGACTATAATCATCCTATTTGAGAACTTTTGCTGTAGCTGGGATGCCAGGTTCATGCCAGCATGGCTAGCATTCCCATATATAGAATGAAGAGGTTAAAATATTCTAGTATACAAAGTTCCTGTCATGCCTCCACTTACCCATACAGCTGTCATAGCACTGTTACATTTTCTGGCATCCATGATGAGCTCATAGTGCAATGGGAAGCAAATGGCTACATAGTAGTCATAAGACATCACCGTGAGAATGGCCACCTCAGCCGAGGCGAAAGACGTGAAGAAGAACACTTGGAGCATGCATTGACCATAGGAAATATAGCTATTACCTGTGAGGGAATTGCTAATGGACTGGGGGACTGTGACAGAGATGAAGGAGAGGTCCAGAAGGGAAAGTTGCTTCAGGAAGTAATACATGGGTGACTGGAGATGCTCGTCCAGGGTTGTGATGGTGATGATGGTGAAGTTGCTTGTCAAGGCCAAAAGGTACATCACCAAGAACAGGCAAGCATGTAACAGCTGCAGATTGTGATTCTCTGACAACCCCATGAGGAGGAATCCATTCATTCTGGTTTCATTTGTTGAAGTCATTCTGAAAATACAAATTATATTAGCACCTGGAAAATTAAATCATATGTGAAATTTAGTCAAAGAAACTTTATATAAACTACCCATGTATTAATTACTGTTCATTCTGCAGCTCCTGTTAATTAACCAGTCATATCTGAAAGCTAATATAGTACTAACTATTACTATTAAAAAAAAATTCTAGTCTTATATTTCCCAGGGCAAAAGTGAGACTTTACAACTACATCTGAAAATTAAAGCAAAAGGGATGGGGGTAGCATGGTAAAGTACTTGCCTAGCAAATATGACATGCTGAGTTCAAATCTCAGTAAAGAAATAAAATATATCATTTTGTTCATTTGATAATACCACAGTTTATGTACTCCATTGAAAACCCAATTCTAACATTATACAAGATGATAAAGCTTGTAGCAAAGAGTATGAGAGTCTTGTGGTGTTGCCTTTCTCAAGGTTATGTTCAGGAAAGGGGCCAGATTGCTAATAATTGGTGTTCTTTCATACAACCCTATCATATGGGGAGTCATGTGCAGCTATATCTGAATAATTATATATGATGAAATTATTTCCCTAGAGTGTAAAGTTTAAGGCCCAATTCTGGGAAAAATTTTAAAATAAATCTATTTAATAATTTTATTTCTGCTTGAATTTTTCTTTTAGATATTTATTAATTGTTCCTGAATGAAACCATATGGATGAAATAGTCAATAAAATTTCCAAATTATGTCCACTACAAAAGTATATGTAGATTATACATCAATTCAGGCTCAAATGAGGCCAGAGATATGTAGAATAATAACTCAGTATAGTAATAGCTTCCATGAGTGTTCAGAGATTGGAAACATGTAGTGATAGGAGTAATTCCCAAAGTTTAATCATGATAGTAAACAACAAATGCAAAAGAAACAACATAAAGAATTGGACAGAATTTTGATACACATGGTACACATGATCTTCCTCAGGGTTTTGAACAATTTCACTCTTTCCTTATAAACCACCATTGAATTAACTTGGTAAGGATTCACTGCTAATATGCAATAACTACCTTTCCGTTACTTTGTTTTTTCTAATGGCAAGCAATATGATCACATTGTGTTTGAAACATGGAAATGGTTATAAATTAACAGAGTTTTGAAATACCTTATTTCTTTGCATATCTGAATGAGAACGTTCACAACAATACTCTCATAGACAGTGGAGAGACCAGGAAAGTGTTTATTTATCTATAAGTGTGTGCATGTATATGTACATATATATGTGTGTGTATATATATGTATAGGTGTGTAAATGCAATATATGTGTATGTATATATAGGAATATATATACATACACATAAACTCCAACATACACACAAAAAAAGACAAATCAAGTTCATTCTTACTCTATTTTATATTTATTTCTCTTCTATATCTCTCTGTTTCTCTCACTCTTGAAGTGTGTGTGTGTGTGTGTGTGTGTGTGTGTTTGTGCATGTGTATAGGCTTGAAAGGTTCTCATAAACTGCAGTGACTCAGAGGTATTTTTTTCTTTAATACAAGAAATTGCCACAGAAAACCAGGCTTGCATTCCTGGCTTCATTCCAATATCTTAGTTCTCTTCAGTTCTTTACTGTTCTGCTTCTACAACTGGATAGATGGTGGTGACTTTAATGACTGTTTTGGGGTTTGGAGAAAAATTTTTATACACACGTTCACACCCACATGTGCACACACACACGCACACACACACGCACACACACACACACACACACACACACACACCATTGGAAACAACAGTTATTAAAGACAGGACATTGTTGAAAGCTTTACAAACTTCCATGCTGTGAAAAGAAGAGGCCAGGGATGCCTTATGCTTTTGATGCCTGAGGGTCACTCACCAAAAAGGGAAAGGAAAAAAAAAACACATTCACAAGTTGTGGCTCTGATTCAAGATCATTTTTCTTTTTTCCATCTATGATCTCCAAATAGGGTCAAAAAGCCAACACCTCAGTTATTTTGTTGAAAGTGTAACAAATGTCTCAACTTTCTGCACATATTCCCACTGTAGTGAAAACTAAGTAAATTGAATCTCAAGTCACTAATGTCTTCTTCCTGTTCCATGTGTAGCCTCATGGTGAACTTTAGAAACAGCTCTGAATTTTCCATAATAATTTTCCCCTGACACAAGCGATTGATAATTAAGCTAAATTCTTCCCCTGAAGAGTCATTTTTTTCTACAGTAGTATAAGTCAGATTTGTTTGAAATCTGATCCAAGATTTTATCAAATGTTACCTCTTATTTAATTAAAGTATTATCCAAATCATTCATTATATGTATTGTTTGCACTTAGGAGAAACTATGAGCTCATTTGGTGACCAATACTATCATTTGGTAAAAGCTCAAGGAGGTCTTGTTTTATTTTGAACTTCAATAAAATGATAACAATTTTCTTAATGACCTCAAGAATGTCCTTTTCATACCACCTTTAAAATCTGGAATGGAATAGAATTTAGATATGTTAAAATATCAACTTGTGAACAACTTGCAAACATCAAAGCAAGATAAACAAAATATGCCAAGTCCTTAAACACTGATTGAATTTGTAAGAATAATTTCAGTCATTTTAAGTTTGGAAAAAGGATATCTATACATTGGCATAGTTTCTAAAATGGAGTCCAAGTAATCAGAAATTTACCTCATTCTATCTGAAAATTCATGGTATAGGACTGTCAGACTCATGAGAAGCTGAGAGTAGGAGGATCACCTTATCAGGCATCCAAGTCAGAAATATCTCTGAGAAGTTTCAAAAGAAACTTAACCAGCGGAAAGACGGGCTGGAGACCTAATTCAGTGAAAAGTAGTTACCTAGCATGTGTGAGGCTTTAATTTCAAACCACAGTGTCACCATTTTGTTGTTGTTGTTGCTGCTGCTGTTGTTGCTCCTAGGGCTTGAATTCAAGGCCTGGGAGCTTTCCCTGAGCTTTTGTGTTCAAGGCTAGCACTCTAAAATTTCAGCCACATGTTCACTTCTGGATTTTTGGTGGTTCATTAGAGGTAAGTTTCTTGGCTTTTCTGACTTTAAATCACAAGCCTTAGATCAGCCTTCTAAGTAGGTAAGGTTACAGGCTTTCTGTGCCCAGCTTTTAAAAAACTTATTGATATTCAAAAGTATGTTTGTGGTGTCTTTGGTACAGTATTCTCCATACCTCATAGTTCTATATACATGACTGTATGATCCACAATTTATATTTGTTATGAACCTATTTATGCATCATACTGCCATTTAACTGAAAAAGATGTTCATCCTGTTACACAAAATACAATTATTATTTTGAAAATAAAAACAGAGCAACCACATCACAAACAAAATCTAAAATGTATAACTTTTAAATGTTGTTCCTTTTATTTTTGTCCGATTTATGTGGGCTTTGAATTTTGTTATAAATCTGGTTTGTTTAAGAAAAAAAGTCATATTCCTATTTGTTTGCCTCACCACTTAGATTAGTTAGACTTCTCTTGCTGTGACAAATGCATTTAAAAGAAGTAGGTGCTGGGCCAGGCACCGGTGGCACATGCCTGTAATCCTCCATATTCAGAAGGCTGAAATCTGAGTATCGCAGTTCAAAGGCAGTCCCAGCAGTAGAAGTCCATGAGACTCTTATCTCCAATTAACCACCAAAAAGCTGGAAGTGGTGCTGTGGTTCAAAGTGGTAGAGTGCTAGTGCTAGCCTTGAGCAAAACTGCTCAAAGACAGTGCCCAGACTCTGAGTTCAAAAGAAAAAAAAATTGACAGAAAGATTTATTTTGCTTCATGTTAACTGAGGCTAACTTGAGGTAGGTCCTTGGCCATTTGGTTTCATTGTTTCTGGGTCTTTGATGAAGTAGAACAGAAAAATGGGTAGGGTATGATGAAACGAAGTCATTGATAGCATGGCAAGGAAATCAGAAATGGGGGGGGGCGGAGGGGAGGAGAGGAGGGAGAGGTAGAGGGAGAGGAGAGAGAGAGAGAGAAGGGAGAGAAAGGAGGAGAGAGGAGAGAGGAGAGAGGGGGGAGGGAGGGGAAGGAGGGAAAGGGGGAAAAGGGGGAGGGGCCAATAGAGAGGAAGGGGAGGGAGCATAGGAAGTAAAGCCACATCTCTCAAACCCATCAAGCTATGAATCTGCAACTGGATTACCATTCGTGAGTTCAAAAGCCTCATAATCCAATTACACCTCCCTCCCTCCCCCCTCCCCCCCAAAAAATACACTTCAGAATATTGCATTCTGGAGCAATTCAACGCAGGAACTTTGGGGAGACATTTAAGATCCAAATTAAACTACTCTTCCGCTGGTCCTCAAAGGCTCATTTTTTTTTTTTTATTGTAAAGATACTATACAGAGGGTTACAGTTACATGAGGGAGGTAATGAGTCCACTTCCTCTTGAACATTGTTACCCCCTCCATTGTTTTCCCCCTACCATCCCCTCCCTCCCTCCCTTCCCTGAGGTTCTTTTTTTTTTTTTTTTTTGATTGTGATTAAGTGATTACATAATTTCCGGAAATTCACAGTATTGTGGAATAATGATGCTCATTTAAAGTCACAAGTTCATTCTAACTTTCCTGGAGCAAATTGTCTATCACAGTCTGTAATATATAACCGTGTTCACATGTTATATACCATATATGTGATCAGCAGCATGGGGATATTTAGTAGTGGTTCAACCAGATGAGTGGGAGTTCTTTGTTTCTTAAATCCTGTTAGTTTTGTCATATCACCTAACATTTTGGATTTAGCATCCACTTATCAGGAAGACCATGTACCGTTTGTCTCTTCATTCTTGGCTTATCTCGCTCAACATGATTCCTTCTAGCTCCATCCATTTCCCTGCAAATGCCATTATTTTGTCATTTCTAATGGCTGCATAATATTCCATTGTGTATAGATACCACAATTTTTGGATCCATTCATCTGTGGTAGGGCTAGGTTGTTTCCATATCCTAGCTATTGCGAACAGTGCTGCAATAAACATGGAGGTGCACGTGTCCTT